GTGTCGGCGAAGGCTCCATGATTTTTTACAATCATTTTATCGAAAGTGGCTTTAATTGCCACGGGAACGTCTTCGTCATCGATTTTAATGAAGTTGACGTTTTTTGCTTTAGTAAACTGGATACTTTCGTTTCCGTTACTTGTCCGCAAGACATTGTTGGTAAAATCCAGTGTCGCATTCACTTGTTTAAACAAGTCGAGTCCGATAATACCGTCAAAGTCTTTGAGGTTCTTTAAGATAAAAAAGGGTGTCTTTACGTTGAACACCGAAACTAGACATTTTTTGTCGATTTTAGTAGAGCCATGGATTGACTTTACTGTAAAAGGTTTCTCTGCTTCCACGATGCCTTTCAGCCCCGGGAGCGGAGTAATGAAGTTTTTAGAGGTACCCGTATCCAATAATATTCTTATTTCTTTTCCTGCCACCTTACGGGTAATATAGGGGAGCAGGGACTTTACCCTAAAAAATTACAGGAGTCCTCTGCTTCTAGGTCGTCTTCTATCTCAGTGGCAGAAGCTTGAGCGACTGAGTTGTAGTCCTCATTGTCGGATTCTTGCTCCGGCAAGAAGTTTATCTTTTGCGGGAATCGATTCGACTGCCCTTTTTGCCAAGTTGTGGGTTGCTTGAACCGAGAGGAAGTGTCAACTTCCATCGGCTCTGGCGCTGGCTGTTTATTTTCTGCGTTATTACGCGGTCTTTGTCGAGATGAACCACTTTGGTTATTATCCCTCTGGGTTCGGACAAAGTCAGGATTCTTTTTTATTGCCCCCGAATTTTGATTTTGTTCATAACCTTTTCAGCTCGTTTGCCGCTGGTTGTTTGGTCTGAACGATTTTTCCTCCGTGTGCCGAGCAAAGCAGGCTGCGAAGATGGTTCTTTCGTTGCTCGATTCAGCTTCTTGCGCTAGCGCTAATGCTGACGGCAAATCTCGCGGCTGTGCCGGAAAAACTGCTATCTTTAATGATTTTTTCAAGCCAGAGACAAACGCGTGTAGGGCGTCTTCCCTGTGCTGCTCATTCAGGACGGCCGCTGCGGCTGCGTCATGGGTCATGATGGTTTTGTTTGTTAGAAGTGTTAACTTCCGCTCAATTTCATCATAATATTTAAGAAGGGGCAGTTCCCCCTGTCTTGACTAGCTTAATTATTGCTTAATTACATGTGTCGGAGTTTTGTCCGCGTATGTGAAGTCTAAACGTGCCAATTAAACACTGTGTTGAATGAAGATAGGGCGGCAACTGCCGGGCCGGTCATTTTATTTTTTATTATTCCTACGGCCTGATAATGGCGGCTGCTGCCTTCATAGTTTTCGAAAACTTTATATGCTGCACAGGCAGCTTGTCTCCAGGAAACGTAATTTTCTTGCTTCCCATCAAATGTTGGGACCGACTTCACCATGTCGAGTGGTTCGTCGCAAAATACCTGTTCTGGCTTAAGCTCAATTTCGGTATATGTTTTGATTTTTGGGTTATTGTCCCGAACTCTCAATGAGTCCAACTCCTGTTGAACAAGGGCAAATATATCCTCGAATAATTTTTGCTGCCTCTGAAGTGCGTCCTGTATGGCCGCCTCCATGGCAGTGATTTGGACTTGCTGCATGAGCAAGACCTGGTCTTGTGCTTCTCTGCTGGTCGACTGACCCGCTTCAAAGTGAGCGTTTCGTTTTGCCTCCATTCTTCTATTATATTCTTCGAGAACTTCCTCGTCTGAAGGAATTTCCTCGTCTGACAGTTCCTTATTCATAAATCTGTGTTTTTATTCCCACCCTCCAAGTGCTGAAAGAATGAAAAATGTAGAACGATTTATTGTTCGCCCAACCTCCAATTCCTGTAAGAGTAGTCGATACGCGTAGAGGTCGGAAGTTTCAAGAATGTCTTTTTTTTTTTTTTTTTTTTTTTGTTTAGATTTGGTGGTTAATTTTCATTAACTAAAAACTGTATCGTCTTTACAGTTGGATTTTTATAAATTGAAAATTTTAAATCCTGATTTATTAATTATTGTTTTAATATAAAAACGAGTCCACTGTATTACGTATGGAATTTTTAGGTTTCGAGGAAATATTCCCGATTTATTTATTTGAATTTAATTTAATTAAATAAAATTAATTAATTTTTTAAACTTCGGTAAAATATTCCTGACTTTATTTTCTATTTTGATTTTACGTGGGACAAATAGAACTATGCCCACTGTAATGGCGACTGAGCTCGATTTTAATTGGCGAAGACAAAAAGCCTACTCACATTTCCTATATTTCGCTGCTTGTCGTCGCTGCTACCGTCGGTGTTTTTTGTTGTTGGGCTATGCAGAATGGCTCTGCCCGTGATGATTTTATTTATTTAATTTTTTATTTTGGCTATGCTGCCAAATTTGTTGATTTTTTCCCTTTGGCTATGCTCCAGGCTCTGCCAAGTCGTCGTTGTTGCCGTCGGTGTTTTTTGCTGCTGGGCTATGCGGAATGGCTCTGCCCCTGATGATTTGATTTATTTAATTTTTTTTAATTAATAATTTTTTTTTTTTGGCTATGCTGCCAAATTTGTCGATTTTTTATTTTGGCTATGCTCCGGGCTCTGCCAATTTTTTTTTCACAAGAAATTGTTTTTCGACTTTTTATTTGTTGATTTATCGCACTGTTGCCACTGTTCGTCGCAATTTTATATTTGTGTTATGTTTTTTTTTTTGAATTCACTGCACAAGTTTTGTAACTTTTCACAAAGCAATTCACTGCTTCCGCGCGAGTGCCCTTTTTTTATTTTTCGGCTAACTTCTTTTAAGCGCGGTCGTGAGAGGGCGCCAATTATATTTAAATTACTTACTACCTGTTTTCCCGATCGCCTGCAAAGGCAATGGTAATCAAGGAGACAAGTTTGGTTTATATTCTGTTTATTGGTCTTAACCCGTTAGGACAAGATATGAAATTAGTGTTACAGCGATTACTAAATTACACAGCTAAGGCTGTGGAGTTACGATTTTAAACTAAACTAAAGGTCTACGGCGGCCGCGGCTTGTAGTCTTCGGGTAGCCGCAGCGCTGCCGCCAAGATGCCTGGTCAGCACTTGGTATCCGGCGCATGTCGATCATGCGCCGCCCGAATGTTCCCGGCACCGTTGGTAAAGTGCCGGGTCAGCAACTAGTTGCCGGGCGACGGACTCCGGGCAATTGCCCTCGGAGTTCTTGGTCACCAGATTCGCCGTTGCGCGTGTTGGCCACCGGATGCGGCCTGCAACTTTGCGAATTTGCCTTGTGGGAAATGTATGTGTTAACTTATATACGTGTAAGGATGTGTCTTAGGCCGGGGTAAACCTCAGCGGCCCAGGATTCCTCTCCAGAAATATTTATATTTTTAGAGACGGCCAGGACATGGACGCCGAATTTTAATGAATTTTCTAGGGCAAATAATAGCAGCGAAAGGGCTAGTTTCTAAAAGGCAAATCTAACTTCGGGAGAAAAATGGGAATCTAGAATGGTCACCCTGGCGATGGCCAGGTGCTCCTCCGTTTCCTGCGCCCGCTCGGTTGCCCAGCAGCGGCGACTCTTTCGATCGGCAAAATCTCCGCCGCCCGGGATGACCCAGCGGCGATGGCGGGCAAAATGCAGACCGAAAGGGAAAGGGAGAGGGGAAGGGGAATCTTGGACGCGGTCACTCTGGCGAAGGCCAGGTGCTCCTCCGTTTCCTGCGCCCGCTCGGTTGCCCAGCAGCGGCGACTCTTTCGATCGGCAAAATCTCCGCCGCCCGAGTTGACCCAGCGGCGATGGCGGGCAATATGCAGATCGGAAGGGAAAGGAGGGGGAAGAGGGGAGAATCTTTGAGCACGTACCGGCGGCGAGGGAGCTCGTAGCTCGGGAAAACCCAGCAGCCCCGATGCCCTACGCCAGATCTGTGCCCGGGAGAACCCAGCGGCGACAAATCCCGTTCCCGTCCCGCTGCTCTGGCCCGGAGCTTGCCCAGCGGCCACGCGAAGTTGGTGCGGGAGAACCCAGCCACCAGCTCGGCGAGTGAGTGAGCGGGAGGGGAACACTTTGGCACGCGTCAAAATAAGGGTTGGTTGTTGCTACGCGGAGTTCGGTGTGAGTGAGAGGGAGAAAACGACACTATTTTAGTCTTCATTTTATTGCTTAGCTGTTTTGTACATTTATTCCTAACGTTGGCTACGGCTAACAACACCTTGCCTGGCCCTACGCCACACTCCAGAAAAAGCTACTCTGCCATGGCTCTCAGCCGGCTCACCCGCTGTTGTCGGTGGGCGAGGACACGTGTCCGTCAGCCGAAGGCTCCTTAGGCACTCGCGTGTCCTTTAGGACGAGGATGTTGGCTTCGGTTGTTTCGAGTCCTTTTGGACTTATCGCGGGGACTAAGTTCGACCGATCGCGTTTGCTGTCGCCAGAGAAGTCTAACGATCGCGTTCGCAGCTGCCAGAGAAGTGATCGCGGTCGAAAGTTGCAAAGCCCTTGTCGCCTAGTCTCTGCCAAAAATGTCCGGGCAGCGCAGCTTTCGGCCGTCGGCTTTGTTATTGTTTTTGTTTACGTTTTGATCGTGTTGTTTATGTTTTGATCGGCATGTAAATAAACACGATCAAAACGTAAACACGCACGATCGTCGGAGGGAAATGTCGCTGCCTCTGCCGCTGTCGCGTCGGCTTGCGTCGGCAGCGAAGAGGGGAAATGTCTTTAGCGCGGTTGCTACAGTCCGTCTTCGAAAAATGTTTACGTTCATTGCGGTCTTAAATATAATTTGGCCCTTCTTGGGCAAAATAACTCTGGCTTCATGCCCGCTAAATGTACAGTTGTGTGTGTGAGTATGTAGTGTGTGTGTGGTGTGTGGGTGTGTGGTGTGTGCGTGTATGATATGGCTAATCCTAACTTATCTCCCTATACTAATTACTAAACTTAACTATAAACTTAACTAATATTTACACTAATTATAATAGGGTTTTGTGACTTCGTCACACTCCACCCTATCTTCGGGAGGGATGGAGAGTGACGATAACCCTTCCGCTCCGGTTCACCTAAACTCGGAAGCGCTGGTTTCCCTCCTCCTCCAGGACCCGGATCGTCCGTCGCCTCGGTACTGCCAGGCGCCCGTGTATCCGGCGAAGCAGGGCTGCCGGCAGCGTGCCGTTCGGTGTAGTCCACTCCGCCGGGGCAGGTACCAAGCGGGGAGGATTGAGGGCCCCCTCGTCGGTGTCCAACGACGACTCGTCGGACGAGCTGGACGGACTGTCTGCACAGGGCGCGCTCCGACGTCGTGCTCGGCGGCGTGGCGTCGCTGGTGGTGGGTTGTCGGCTGATCGTGGGTTGTTGGTTGGTGGTGTGTTGTCGGCTGGTGGCTGGGCAATCTGCGGGATGCCGAGCTCCTCGCTCAGATCTTGCGCTCTTCGGCGTGCCTCCTCTGCGGCCAGCTCCGCAATGGTGGGCAGGCGTGGTCGAGGATCGCGGCTGGGGGTCACCGTGGCGCATCGGGCGGGGTGGTGGCTGGGGCCCAGCCTTGGGTGTCCCCCCAATCGATGAGGCCCTCCGGTATTTCCCCGAAGCACTCGATCAGGGCGGCTTCCACTTCGCCCATATATGGCGGAGTCCGGCGGGTGCTGGGGTGTGGCGGTGTGGTGCGCCTCCTCCGGATGTCGCGACTGTCCTCCGCGGTGGGGTTGTATATGACGGTCGCGTCGCTATCGTCATCGTCCTCGCCGGTCGGATTGTAATTCCGACGGGTGCCAACGCTGCTGTCCTCGCCATCGGTGACGAGGTCGTACCTCGCGCCTAGAGGGCCGAGAGAGCCTGTTGCCGGCGGCTTCGCGTGCGGTGGGCCCCTTTGGAACAGGCCTATGGCTGCCTCGTCTGTGTCCTCGATGGTGTCGAAGAGGTCGCCCAGGGTGTCCTCTACTAGGCGGTCGAAGTTGACCCAGTCGTCTGACAGGGAGACGGCTTGGTTCCAGGCGTCTTCGGCCTCGGCGGCGGGTGCGGGGTCTCCGGATGGAGCCTCGCGTCGTTGGGGCGGTGTCAGATCGACCCGAGGGGGTCCGAAACGGTTGTCAGGTGGCACCTCCTTCTCGTCATTGCCGTTGGGAGGGGCAACTTCCGGAGGGGGTGCCTGCGGCCCTATGTGGCCGGTGCGCAGGGGTGCCTGGAGCGGCATGCTGGGTGGAGCCCAGCGTCGTCGCTCTGGTGGGCCTCCTCCTCGTCATCGTCACGGGGAACGACTTCCAGAGGGGCCCGTTGAGGCCCAATGAGGCCGATGCGCAGGGGTACCAGGGGTGGCATTCCCCTCGCAGATGATGGCCGTAGTCCGGCGTGGTCATCCGGATTCACTCCCTCCTCATCATCGCCACGGTGGTGGGCGACTTCCAGAGGGAGCAGTGATGGCCCGATGGGGCTGGTGTGCTGGGACGCTAATGGTGGCATCCCCTCGGTAGAGGGCCGACGGGGCCCGGCGTGGTTGCCGGTGTTCGCCTCCTCCGTGTTGTCGGCGTCGATGGTGATGACCTCGACGGGTAGAGCCCGTGGCCGGAAGGGGCCGGCGAGGCTGCCGCCGGGACGCGGCTGGCTTGGCCCGGCGCCGTGGAGCGCCTGTAGGAGCTCGTCAACTGCACAGTACATCCATGCGGTGTCCTGTGGCGCCGGGGCGGGAGTCGGCGGATGGCCTTGTCCGTCCATCTTCTGGTTGGCCTCGGTGGTGGCGGAAATCTGTAGAGCGCGTGGCTCGTCGAACCTTGTGGTAGGCGGGATGAAGGCGGTTGCTGTAAGGACAGATGAGATGTGTATTAGTGTGTTGCCCTGGGCCCTACCTAATGGAGTGGGCTAGGGTTGGCTACGACTACGGCTTTTTGAAAGAGACGCATGTTCACCCCATTAGGGGGTTCGGGCGTTGGACAGGCGCGCCTGTCAACACGTGGCCCCTGTGAAACATGGTCATCTCCCCCTACATGGGTGCTCGTCGCTAGTGTTGGCGGCGCGGGATGGATCCCCTGCGCCGTGCGGTCTTGGCTGCTGGCTGTGCGTCCAGAGTGGTATCTTCGGCGTCGGTGTCTTCCTGGTGGATTCCGGCTTCGGTGTCGGCATCCTCTTCGTGGTGGTACGGCTTCAGCTGGTTCAGGCTGGCGGTCCGCCGCCGTCGGCTTCCTGGCACGTGCAGTTGCACGATGTTCGGCGATGGGAACTTTGCTACCCTGAAGGGTCCTTCGTACTTCGCTGCTAGTTTCGCGGCAAAGCCCTCGGCCGCGTTGGATAAGGCGTGTCGGCGTACTAGGACCATGGATCCAACTGGTGGTCTCCACGTCCTCCGGCGTAGGTTGTAGTGACGGCTCTGCTCGGCGGCGGCGCGGTCAGCGTTGTTTCGGACGACGTCGAAGATGTTCCGGAGTTGCTCGCTTAGCTCTGTCGGGGTAACCTCTGAGGTACCTCGTCCGGGGGTAACTTCGTCGTACAATGTCTTCGGGAGTCGCGGTTCTCGGCCTTGTACTAAGAATGCGGGGCTGAATCCGGTAGTGTCCGAGACACTACTATTTATGGCCAAAGATATCTCCGGTAGGAGTTGATCCCACTCGTTTTGTTGGCCTCCATCCAAGTATTGGGCGATCATCGTCTTGATCGTTCGATTTGCCCTTTCCGTGAGATTCTGCCTCGGAGTGTAGGGCGCCGTGTGCTGCAGCTCCATCCCTAGCGACTGGCAGAACTTCTGGAATGAGCGGCCGGTGAACTGCGTCCCGTTGTCGCAGACAAAGGTTCGGGGAACACCGAATCGGCTCAATATCCGCTCTCTGAAGGCTCGTTCCAGATGTGTGGCGGTAGCTTTGCGGAGTGGTACCAGTTCCACCCACTTGCTGAAGGCGTCCAGGAACACTAGAAGCATCGTGTTGCCCTGTTTCGACCGCGGTAGTGGGCCGACGAAATCTGCACAAAGGATGTGGAACGGCTCCTCGACCTGTCGAGTAAACATTTGACCCGCGGGTTTTTCTTGGCTCACCTTATATCGCTGACAAGTGGGACAACGGCGAACGTACCGAGTCAATTTGCGGAACAATCCAGGCCTGTAATAGCGCTGGGCCACGCGAGTGCTGGTTTTCCGGACTCCTAGATGACCGGCAGTGGGGTGATCGTGGCACTCTTCGAGTACTCGCTGGCGATAGTCTGATCCTACGCAAAGTTTCCAGGGCGTGTACTCCTCCTCCTCAGGTCGGAGTCCTCTCGGTAATCCGGGAATTTTGCCGGTTCGGTCCGAATCCTCTGGAGCATCCTCGTGATCCACTTACAGTTACAGTCCTTGTACCTCCGCTTGCTGCACGATGGGCAGCGGTTGGCGAGAAAGGGCATCGGCCACTAAGTTCTGGGCCCCCTTCCGGTAATGGACATCATACTGATACTGTTGCAACTCCAATGCCCAACGGGCAATCCTGCCTGTTGGATTGTCGATGGAGTTCAACCACTTCAAGGAGTGGTGGTCTGTGAGGACTTCGAAGCGGTATCCCTCGATGTAACACCGCATCTTCCGAATCGCCCAGACGATGGCGAGGCACTCCTTCTCAGTCACTGAGTAGTTCCTCTCCGCAGTGTTGAGCCTGCGGCTGGCGTACGCTATCACCCTCTCATTTCCCTCGATGGTCTGTGTTAGTACGGCTCCGATTCCGTAATCACTGGCGTCAGTTTGTAGCACAAACTTCTCTGCAAAATCTGGGCAAGCTAGAATAGGGGCTTCGATCAGCAGCGTCTTCAGCTCCTGGAAGGCCTTGTCTTGTCTTTGCGTCCATTCCCACTTGTGGCCCTTCTTCAGCAGCGATGTCATGGGTGCCACAACATCGGCGAAGTTCGGCACGAAGTGGCGGTACCAGGAAGCAATTCCCAGGCACCTGCGTAGCTCCTTCAAGTTCGTCGGCGGTGCGAGTCCACGGATCGCAGCGATCTTGTCCGGATCCGTGTGGATTCCGGCTTCACTGATCACGTGACCCAAGTACACGATGCGGCGCTGGAAGAAATGACACTTCCCTCTGTTCAGGCGCAGGTTTGCGCAGCGGAGGCGCCTGAAGACTTCTCCCAGATTGGCGACATGCTCCTCCAGTGTGGAACCGATGACAATGATGTCATCCAGATATGCAAACGCATGGGGTTCCATATCCGGACCGATGACCGTGTCTAAGGCGCGTTGGAACGTGGCGGGGGCGGAGTGGAGTCCGAAAGGCATGACTCTCCAATGAAACAACCCTCTTCCGGGAACGGTAAACGCCGTGCACTCCCGACTGTCCGGGCCACTGGGATTTGCCAATACCCATTTTTGAGATCCAACGTCGAGATGAATTTCGCGTTCCGGAGTCGCTCCAAGATCTGATGGATTCTCGGAAGCGGATACGCGTCCGGCACGGAGTTCTCATTGAGCTGGCGGTAGTCCACGCACAAGCGGACTTCGCCATTCTTTTTGGCCGCGATTACGATGGGCGCGCTGTGCGGGCTTTTCGATGGTTCAATGCGTCCGTCTCGGAGGAGTTCATTGATCTGCTTGTCAATGACGGCCCTCATGGCCGGGTTCCTTGGAAAGTATCGCTGTTTAAGGGGTCGGTCGGTGCGCATGAAGATGCGATGCTCTGCGATGTGTGATACCCCTGAGAGAGTATCAAATTTGGCCAGTTCCTGGTCCAGGAACTCCTTCACCCAAGGCTCGGGGTAATCTGGCGTCTCCGGTTCCTCTGTCTGGAAAGAGACCTGATCCTCTGTGGGATGACTCACCGAATTGACGGTTCCGCATAGGGGCGGGCTTGGCTCCGGCGTTTCCTCGACGTGATCCTGGAAGCGGACACGTTTTGTGGAGGTACGGAAAGGGTTCCGTTGCGCGGCTGTGGCATCTGCCACGGGCAAAGCCTGTCTCCAACAGGGCGGCTGGTTCTCCGTCGCTGGTGATGCTGTGTCTCGAAACTGTGCTCGAGGTGAGGTGCTTGGCTGGTCTTCGGGATCGGAGCATGGCTCCCTTGGCTGCCCTCGATGGGTAGAGCGTGGCTCTCCTTGGGCTGTCGTCTGTGGCTTCTCGGCGTGGGTGGAGTGTGACTCCGTTGTCGTCCTTCGCTGATCAGAGCGTGGCTCTGCATGGTGGGCCATTGGTGGCTCTTCGTCGGGGTTGGAGTGTGACTCCGTCGATGTGCTTCGCTGGGCAGAGCGTGGCTCTGAGTGATGTGCCGGGGATGGCTCTTCGTGGTGGGAGTGTGACTCCGTCGATGTGCTTCGTTGCTCAGAGCGTGGCTCTGAGTGATGTGCCGGGGATGGCTCTTCGTGGTGGGAGTGTGACTCCGTCGGTGTGCTTTGCTGATCAGAGCGTGGCTCTGAGTGATATGCCGTTGGTGGCTCTTCGTGGTTGGAGCGTGGCTCCCTTCGCTGGTCAGAGCGTGGCTCTGCGGGCTGGTCCCGTGGGTTGGAGCGTGGCTCCCTTCGCTGGTCAGAGCGTGGCTCTGTCGTTGGTCTTCGCTGGTCAGAGCGTGGCTCTGTTGTTGGTCTTCGCTGGTCAGCGCGTGGCTTTGTTGTTGTTCTTCGCTGGTCAGAGCGTGGCTCTGTTGTTGTTCTTCGCTGGTCGTTCGGTCGCAGTCGGAGGGTCTGCCCGCCGCAGAGCAGGGTTGCTCCGATCCCGCAGAGGAAATCCATTCCTAGGAGTATGTCGTCCAGTGCGTCCGACATCACGAGGAGAATGGTGGGCGTCCGTTCACTCCCAAGGTAGATATTTGCCGCCAGAGCTCTGGTCAGCTCGCGGCATGTTCCGTCGGCTAGTTTTACCTGGGTATGGATGTCCTTTGTGTTCCTTCCGTTGTCCAGCGTTTGAGCCAGCCCTTCGCTAATGAAGCTATGGGTGGCTCCGGTGTCCAGGGTAGCTGTGAACCGCTGCCCCTCCATGTGGATGGTAGCGCGGATGCGTCCCTGGTACTGATGGAGAGAGTCTCCTATTGACTTCGAGGATACGGAGGGTTCCTCGGGTGATTCCCGGTCACACGAGGCCCTTGCGCGTTTCCCGACGGTGGCTGACGGCAACAGTCGATCGTCCTGCGTCCTCGTTGACCGCAATCCCAACAGAATAGGATCCGTGGATTCCTGCATTCGGCTTCGAAGTGCCTGGATTGGCCACAGTTCCGGCAGGCGTCGCGAACGTTTACGGCTTCTGGTCGTGGTGCCACCGCGCTCTGGCTGGTGCAAGCGTTCCGGCTAAGGGAACCGTTGAGGGCGTTGCCTGAAGAGGGCGCCTGTTGAGCTCGTCGAGTGGGCATCCTGTCTCCGTCGGCTGCGTAGCTGGCTCCGGCGGCCTGGCGTTGAGTCGGGATCCGGTTCTCGAGCGTTCTTCCGCCTCGGCTGCGTGTCTCCTCGTAGTTGGTCACGAGATGCGTTAGCTCGGTCAGCGTACGGAAATCCTGCCTCCGGGTGTAGAGTTGATACTCTGGCAGCATATTTTCATAGATCCTCTCCAGTTCCTTGTTCGAGGAGAATCCGGCCCGGCGCATCTGCAAACGGATGTTGATAAGGTATTCCTTGAATGGCTCGTTGGGTTTCTGAAAGTGCATCCTTATCTCATCCTCCAGCCGCTGATAGTATCGCGGTGGCAAGAAGAAGTCAAGGAACTCTCGGCGGACCTCGGTCCAGCTGGCTTGCTGGAGTCCGCTCGTGCGGAACCAACTTTCGGCTCGGCCGGCCAGCAGCACCACCAGGGCTTGAGCCAGATATCTCCGGTCGATCCGGCAGGTATCGGCACGCTCCTCGATGTGCTCTATGAATCCAAGTGGATCCGTTGTTCCATCAAAGGAAAGACCCCACTTGATCATCCTGTCGATCAGGATTGCTCCCAAGCCAGCTTCACTAGGGGAATGCGCAGATCGCGCAG